TTTTAGTGTGTATATATGTGACCCCTCCCATGAAGCATATATACACAGGTATTAAATATATCTCTCTATATAATATTATATGTGTGTGGTATCAAAGGAATCTTTTAAAATGAGGGTAAAGGAAAAGGACTCGGGCCAGGAAACGCAGCATCTCCAGTTTAAATATGAAGACTTTTATTTGGCATAGGGAAAGGGAAATAACAAAAGAGGGGAGGGTTTTATATAGATAGGTATAAATTCTGAGATGGGACAGGTTTCCCTGTTCACATTTTTGAAACCCCTTAGGATGTCCTTGCAGTCCCATCTCAGTGAGAGAGTATTATACTGCTAACTAGTGAGTAAAGTTTTAATGGTAAGGCTTTGCTTATATTATATAAAGGGACATTGTGAAAGACAGGAAGGTTCACACTTGACTTCTTAGGCTCGCTTTATCAAGCCAAGAGGGTTTTCTTCAGCACACTATGTGCTCTCAGCAAAACTGCTCAGTGCTCACAGCTCTACAACAGATAAACCACCAGTTGTAGGGCTGCGTTAGTGGTGTGTTCACAAGACTCTGATAACTCTCTCTTCTTCATTCGTGTGAGAGAAGAGAATTCTGCAGTGCAGAACCAAATTTGAGGGTTATTAACAAAAGAAGTGATGTTCTAATTTTATAACATTAGAAGAAAATTTCATATCCCGTAAAATAACCACAGACATTCACACAGAGCAGAAACTTGTTAAATGCTGAAGGACTTAGTGAAATTCTTTTCCCAAATTCTTTGGTAGGGGAAGGGATTTAAGTGACACTGGCATTGGAGTTAACCTGGCCTTTACAGGGGGAAATAAATTTAAAAAACCCAAACAACAGAAAATACCCTACTTAGCTTGTATGAAACTGTATGTCAAAAATGGATGGATTTTAGCAAGTGAAAGGAAAAGATAGCAAGGGGATGCTGCAGTTCTGAGCTGGGTAGTAATGATTTTGAGTCCTTTAATATGTCTTTGTATTAATATAATTTAAGAATACCACGCTTTACTATTAAAAAGAACTTAGTATCTTTCATAAGGTCTAGTATCAGGATAATAATGTAGATGTTTTAACAACGTTTTTGTTCTTAAATAAAGAAAAAAACCAAACTTGCTTCTTATAGCCTTTGTAATAGAAAATAAAAGTGTGCACTTTAAACCGTCTCCTGATCCAGTGTGTGTTTGTGTTTTTCCAATAGCCTGCAAAGGGTTTTTATCTTGGTTTTGGGTTTCCCTGCTGTGAGGAGGGAAGCAAAGGGAACACATTAAGCATTGGATCGCTTTGGCTTTCTCTCATCTTTAAGTATAATCTGTTCTTCTTGCTGAGTGGAAAATTGCCTATGTGTGTATTAACAGATTATGCAGTTCTTCATCAGGCATACGGTTCTTGTGAACTTTAGATGTATTTAAGGTTTTTTTCTTTCCCCCCAGCGCCAAGAGTCTGTGCTCTGCATTAACACATAGTTTCAGGTGTTTGGGTAACCTGTGGTTTGAAACCTCCAGTAATCAGGTCTTGTACCACCTTCATCTAGAGGCTGTTCCTCTGTGTAGGCCACTCTGTTCAGCTTGGTCAGCCAGTTCTTTTGCCTGCCAGTGCGCACCCTGCCAGGGAAAATGCCCTTAGCCCTACCCACCGAGTCGCACACAGCTTGGGCCATGAGAAGCATCAGTGCACTTTGCCCCTGGAGAGGATGCTGTGTGAGGAACACTGCACCTGGGGGAAGAGGTCAGTGTGAAAACATTTATTAATAAAACTGGGTTTTTTTAAATTTTTTGAATCCATCATGATGCAGATTAATCTGGATTCTTGATGAAGCCAAAAGTGGAGATGCGGTGAAGACAGGGGAGTCCCATGGATATGCCTTGTTACTGCTGTATAAACTGGTAGAGTGACCAGAAGGCCATATCCAGTGAGGCCTGACGAGAGGAGATTTGTCACACATCTCCCTGATGTGCCTCCATATAAATATAGGGACTTCTAGTCAAAGGAGACACCTGAAAACTAGCTTGTAGTGCAGGGGGAATGAGGAGACCAGTACACTTCCAAGGGGCATTGATTATGTACAGCATGAGAGACATTAGTTTTACATTCCAGAGATTATTGAGGCCATGCTGGCAAGAGTTGAGGGTAGCCTTTCCAGTACCATGGAAACCAAAATTGTCAAATTGCAAGGCAGACAAAGCATGAGAATTAAAAAAAGACAGTGTTTTCCTTGCAGGTTTGAGCCTCATCTGTAAATCAGTGTTTCTTCACTGAAATAAACTTGTATTTGGGAGAGGCAGGAAAAGGAGTGGTGATTTCAGTATTCAGATCCTCCTAGGAACTTCAGCAGTTACAAAGACAAGGAGGAGAGACCCAAGTCAGCCAGGAAGGATCCAGGTCTGATGGAGCATTGAGAGGAGCAGGGCTAGAGACCCCTGAGAGGTGGGAGGAGGTCTTTGTGCTCAAGATCATTAATGCCATCACACAGCAGCTTGGCAGAGGGAGTTTGCTGCAGATGAGATTCCTAAGCAATCCTGTGACTGAGTCTGCCTGCCCACACTACAGAGAAACATTTCTGGGCAGTGACAGCAGGTGATCCAAATGTTGTCATCCTTTTCGTTGTGTTTGCTGCTGCCATTGCAACCAAGAACAGGGCAGTGTTGTGTTGTGTTCTGTGCACAGAGATTAGCAGAGAGTTCCTGTCATGCAGGAGCTGTAACCTGGTGAGGTGTGCTGGTCACTGGCTGGGGTGGATGGCCCAGAGGAGGACCATGTAGGGCACTTGGGGGAAAAACATGGGGCAGAAAACAACATGCTAAATAGTAAAAGACATCTGGATAGAAGTGACCAATGAGAGGAAGTGGAGGAGGAAAGGCTGCAGGCACGCCTGGCTGTAGCACACAGATATTTGGTGTGGGGCAGAAGGTGCTGAACAGACTTAGTTGGGTGCTATTGGTGGCTCTGGGCAGAGGTCCTGTGGACACTTATCTCTTGTGGCTTCCTAGAAAGCTCTGGCCAGGAGCTCTGAGCCATGTCTCATCCAGCCTTGCCCTTTCTCCCCAGGATGGAAGGAGACAGGACAGGGCTTATCCATTCCAAATAACCTCTCTCTCTTCCCAGGTGGATTATCACCTCCTGTTTTTCTGCAGTTCCCCCTCCAGGCAAGAATAGCAGGTCCTGGTGCCCCCAGGACAGGAGTGGTGTTTTCTAAAAACATTAGATCCAGGTGCAGCAAGGACAAGAGCAGGGATCAGACCAAATGACAGCTCCAGATGACTCCTTTCCCACCACAACAGTCCTGTCCCTGGCTGCTCCCAAGATTACTCCTTTCAGGGATGCTCCTCTCTGCAGTTTATCTTACAGACGACAGTGCTCCAGAAAACTCCTACTTTTTCCAGAGAGCCTCAGGAGGCACAAACATAGCAGAGTACCAGGAAATAGGGTTATTCATAACCAACTACATTAATCCTCCCAAAAATGACATTTACACAGGGCTGGGATGGAAATCTCTAAACCCAGATGCCAGAGTAGATTTGGCTTGCTTGGAACTGGAAAAACACTCAACTCTGGAGGTGCTCTTTGGTGTATTTCTTTTGTTCTTAGTGGATTTCCTACGTTTGCCTTAGCTGTGGGCTTCCAATAGTGCTGGGGCCCTCCAGGCAGATGGTCAGACAGAGGAAGAGCTGCATAGTTTCTCTAATTGAATACCAAGGCACTGCTCCCCTGTCTGTACCCCAGCAAAGCCCTGAGGCAGAGAGGGAAAGTCCTGCTTCCATGGGAGTAAGATGGCCTCAGTTTTCCTCAGCCAAATGACTTGAGAATAACTGCAACATGGCTGAACGTTGCCCCTGGGGGCTGTGGTGGGGACTCAATACGGCAGCAGTGTTTTCAAAAGAAGCTCTAGGCAGCTTGGATCTTCTCCTGTTTGAGACCTTTCGTGTCTTGCCTTTGGGGGATGACCAGAAGCCAAACTGCCCAAGCCTTTTTAAGGATTAGTTGTTTTCTTTGAGTCCACACGCTTTCCCCAGGCTCAGACGACTCCTGTATCTGTCCATCAAGCTCTGACCTCTTGGGCTATGACACTGCAGGTTTCCTCCTCCTGCTGGGGATCACATTGTTCCCAGGGGGTCTGAGGGGAAGGGGTGGCTGAAGGACAGTCCAAGTCCTTACAGCCAGGCTCTTCATTTTGAGAAGGAAGCAGACAGAGGAATGTGTATCTTGCTGTGCCACCCAATAGTCTCCCATGGACCCTGGCAGAGGCCTAATATCACTGTCCTTGGATTTACCCGTGCTGCTTTAAACCTCTTGGATTATTGCTGCTCTTGGCACCTCCTGGGTTCTGCTTCCTGCCAAGGCTTGTTCAGGGAGCTCCCAAAACTGGCTCTGCTCAGGCTCCCAGAGTGTTTCCAGACCAGGGAAATGCAGCAAAAGCAGCTCTAGGTGTCCTTCCTGCCCAGGGCAGCACAACTTCTGGTGAACCCAAGGCCCTTTCTCACGTTTTCTCTCTGCCTAGCACCTAGTTCTCTGGCAAAGGGCACCTCACAAGGGAAGGCCACGTGCAGACAAGCAGAGATGTGGTGAGACCAGCTGCCATGTAAGCACACCAAGGAGGTGGAGATGTCTTGGCAGGGGTGGTGGGGAAGCAAAGCTCATTAACTTTTTGGCACACATTTTGGGGAATTATATTTTAGAAATCCTTTCGCCTCAGGCAGAAAGTGAGGTGGTTCCTTCCACTAAAGTTCACTGCTTGCTTGGGAGGTCCTGATGCTGTTCCTCCACACAGGGAGACAGACAGGCACGCATGTGCACATACATAGGCACATGTGTGCATGTAGTACCCTGCAGGGGAAGGGGCAGCCCTTTCAGAGGTAGAAAGGGGGCTAAGAGTGAGGCCTCATCAAGCCTACGTGTCTGCGTCGCACGTTGGTACCATCAAAAGCACCCAAAGGGTTGCATGCCTGTGTTGCAGGCACCAGGCAGGGTCTTTAGCC